GTGTCATTCAAAAAATATTTTACATTAGATTTTTTTTTTTAAAGTTTTAGATTATAAAAGATAAATCCTGTATAATTTTATTTATATATTAATATTTTATATTTATTTTAGGTAATAAAGGATAATTTTATTATATTGAAAAACTTTTTCATATGTAATAAATTAATATTAATTTATTATCAAATATTTCAAAAGCATGAATGCTTTAAAGTTTAGATTACATGATAAAAATTATTTACGTTAGTGTAAGAATTTTGTATATTTAACTATTTTGATTGTATGAACAGTAATTTATTTTAATTATATTCGAACTAATAATGTGTTTACATTAAAATATTTGTAAACTTATTATGTCCGCATGTGAGGGGAGGGACACCTATTTTTTTCATTATAAGTAAAGCTGTGTCTTTTCAAAAAAAAAAAATCTATTAATTTTAAAAGTTCTATAAAAAAATAAATTAGCTGAACAAATAGTTAAAATAAGTTTTGAAAGTTGTCTCTTCTCGTTATAAAAGATAAATTAATAAAAAAACTCAATTAATGTTTAAAATTATGTCTTTTCATAAAATAATTTAATGTGGGAAGGTTGTATCTTTTCCAAAAAAACTGAAATATATTAGTTTAAAAGTTGTATCTTTTTATTGTAAAAAAAATTCTGTTTTTTTTTTTAATAAAAAACTGTTAGTTTTAAAAGTTGTATCGTTTCATTATAATAAAAGTTGTGTCCTTTTTTTAAAAAAATAATTGAACTCTATTAGTTTTTAAAATTGTATAAATTATTTATAAAAATAAATTACTGTAACAAGTAGTTAAAATAGGTTTTACGAGTGTGTTTTCTCGTTGCTAAAAAAAATAGAGTGTGTGTACTCATCATGAAGGACATTTTAATAATAGAGAACTCGGTTAATGTGTTATAATTGTTTCTTTTAATAAGGGAAATTGCTAAAACTAGCACATTCATGATACACTATTTCACTTTTACATTAATCACCTTTATCCTTAAAATTTTGATAGTCAAAAGACTATAGTATCCTTAATTAATTTTGTAGAAAATATATAGTTTAGAATTTAGGGTTATGCATTAAGAATTTAGGATTTAGGGTAAAGAATTTAGGGTTTAAAGTTTAGGGTTTAGAATTTAGGGTTTAGAATTTAGGGTTTAAAATTTAGGGTTTAAGATTTCGAATTTAGGGTTTAGGGTATAGAATTTAGGGTTTAGGGTATAGAATTTAGGGTTTAGGGTTTACAATTTTAGGGTTTAGGGTTTAGAATTTAGGGTTTAGGGTATATAATTTAAGGTTTAGGGTTTAGAATATAGGGTTTAGGGTTTAGAATTTAGGGTTTAGAGTTTAGGGTTTAGAGTTTGATATTTAGGGGTTTAGGGTTTAGAATTGATATTTTAGGGTTTAGGGTTGATTTTTAGGGTTTGAATTCGAAAAAAATAAAAAAATATTTATTGTTTTTTGTGTATTTTTATTTATCTAAATATTTATTTTATATATAAAGAACAAGTGTATAAGAGTTTTTTATTCTTTAATGAAAAATGTATTTATGAAAATGTCTCCCTTTTTAAGGTAAATATGAATTAGTGTACCCAAGAATGTGTATTTATACAATTCTCTCTTTTAATAAAAGGACTGAAATGTATTAATTTAAAGGCTGTGTTTTTACATTATTAAAAAGAAAGTATGTTTTTCACACAAAAAGAATTCAACTCTATTAGTTTCAAGAGTTTTGTTTATTCGTTATAAATAAAGTTAATTATTTTTATAAAAAATTGAACTATATTAGTTTTAAGAATTGTATCTTTCCATTGTAAAAAATAAATTAGTTTTAAAATAATCATACCATCCCAATAAATGTCTTTCTAAATTTATTAGTTTTAAGAGTTGTGTTTCTCATTGTATAAACAAATAATTTTCTAAAAAGTGATAAAATATCTCAATAAGCATCTTCCTATAATTAATTATAGGTCTTTCCATTATGCAATCAATTGAGTTTCTTTACTTGACATAAAAATTTGGTGCATGGGAGACCAAGAATGATTTTTAGTTAAGAAATGGTAAATGGTCTATTAATAATAAAAATCTCAATTAGTGTTAAAAGTGGTAAATTCATATAAAAATTGAAATGTATTAGCTTTAAGAGTTGTATCGTTTCAGTTTAAAAAAGTTGTGTCATTTCAAAGAAAAAATTGAACTCTATTAATTTTAAGAGTTGTATCTTTTCACTATAAAAATAAATTAGTTTAAAATTAGTTAAAATATCACAGTAAATGTGAGTTAACCCCTTAGGAACATCTAAAAACATAAACATTGGATAAAGCAAAAAAAAAAAGATTTACCCTCTGCTCTCTTCTTCCCAAACCGTTTTCTTCTCGTCTCTCTCGCGGCTTCACCACCGTGGGTTTGGTTCTTCACTTGTCTCTATGTTTTTCCTTATTTCTTTCCTTAGTTAAAGTAATCAGGACCGGCTCAAAAAAATTCATGGGTCCATGGACAAACTAATTAATTTCTTTAGATATATATATATATATATGGATAATTTTTTAAAATTGGACCCTTATATCTATAGTATTTTTTTTTTTTAAAAGGCCCCTTAATAACATTAAATGTTTTTTAAAAAAAAATTGGGCCCAGGGTCCACATCCTTCTCGCCCCTTGCCCTGAACCGGCCCTGAAAGTAACAACGGTAGCGAAAATTAAATTATGACCAGTCTAAAAATTACCAAAGTGGGTTATTCTACTAATTATCAAATCTACTATAATTAAAAGTTCTTATTAAGATGATATGAGATTGTCCACGTCGACATTAATAATCGGCCAATGATATCTCACCATTTTGACACGTCATACGCCACATCATGCACATGCGCCACATCATGCTGTCTAATGTTAAAGGGCCGTTTAAATATATTGGGCCTGCTAACAACTAAAACCAACCGGCCCAGCATAGGTTTATCACCTAGGTTACGGTTGAATTTCAACTCCTCACTGACTCGATCTCTTCGCTTCCTCTTCTCCCCTCTTCTCCGTTTCGTTTCTTAGATCATTCAACACTCTCATTCACTCTCTTATGTAATCAAAACCTTGATTACTCCATCGACAATAGATTCTTTTCGCCTTTCTCTTCAAAACTCTCTCTCCACATTAACAGCCATGAAATCCGATGGGACCTGAAGCCGCAAATATAGTTTCTCACTCACTCCCCCTCTTTATTAATTAAACACATCACGATTGGCATTTTCCTGCTTGATGTAGCTGAAGAGTTCACCTATGGTCACTGTCTCAGGCTTAGTAACCACCTCTGCATTAATTTTGTTAGCAATATCTAAGTTGGAGCCCAACCTGAGGGAAATTTAAAAGTAAAATAGACATTGGTTGATCCTCAGTTATGATTTATAAGATGACAGAACATAGATATGTTGAGTAACAGTTTTATAGTCAAAGAAATATCTGAATACATGGATACATACTAGCTTAGATAATCCTTCGTCGGCTGGACATCATCGTTCATAAAGATTTGAGAGGATGACATGGAAGAGAGTGCGAGGGTTCCTGTTTTTTAAAACATGAATGGTGATTTACAACCAAATACACAAAACATTGACAAACAACTAATTTCCAATTAAGTAATATATAAAGATGCAAATGCTAACCTCCAAAACGTTTAGGGTTGACTGTGGTCACCAAAAGAACACTTGGAGGGCATCCGTACCACTTGAATTTCTGACAAAAAATCAGTTGCAGCTTTGTCCCAAAGGTAAAGCTTTATAACCGGTCCGCTGCAGGGGATTAAAATCAATCCTAATAATTATGATCTAAGTGCACATTGACTTTGATAAATATAACTTTACCCGTACTAAATGTATTGCCTCATTTACTAATTGCTACTATACAATCCAGTAAATGATTCACATAGTATTATTTGTAATGATCTAAGAGTTGGCATAAGATTCCGAACTATATCCCAGGGAATGATATACACATCCAAACAACTAAATTTAGGAGAACACCCCCTCATCCTACCAACCGACTTGTTTCTGTATTATATTGAAAATAAATTATGGAAAACATTAGAGAAGCTTACTCATGTGTCTGAACATGAACCAAAACATGCCGAGCCTCTGCTATATCGCCTTCATTAAGGATGGGACAGTTGGTGAGAGTCTGCCCATTGACCACCTTCATGTGGCCTTCATGTGACCTACAAAACCTATAGTAGTTGTTCATCAGTTGTAATAAAAATTATTATCACATAGTTGAGAAGAAAAGTTAGAGTGAGAGCTTACCATAGAGGTCACCTTTGAGGTCACACTTAGCATCAAACTCATCGTGGCTGTGGAACCAGAAACGGTCTTCTAGAAAAGGAACCGGACTGCTATCAAGAACAGATAGCACAGAGTTCCAGGAGAACATCACAGTGAAACTATGATCAGCAACCAGGAATATGTCATGTGTGGGATATATGATTGAACCCGTCCCGCTAGAATGAAGCCTTGGATGACAGTTCCCTGTCAACCATAACATTGTGAGGATTAAAAGATTTACTTTCTCATTTGAGCAAAACTATCTAACGGGTAAAAAAATTGTTGTAAATGAACCTGATGATCGTTAAGGAACATCTCCACACCAATAAGGATTTTGGTAGTTTCTATTAGGAAGTAGTTTACTTAATAACAATAAGTAGCAGAACTAATTAACAATTCTATCATAATTGTTTCATAAAGTGAGCATGATTAGTATCATAATTGTTTCATAAAGTGAGCATGAAAAGAGATACCTTGAAACTCAGAGTCGTCTGAATCATCATCTGAAGAAGTTATAGCATTAGGTTTTTCATCGTCTTCTTCTTCTTCATACAGATTCTCTGTTTTGTAAGAAGAATAAGTAAAGAATATTTAGTTCTGAAAATCGCAAGGACATACAAAACACAAGTTCAACGTTTCCAATGTTTCTCATTAAAAAATAAAACAGAAACGATCAGAGAAATCAGAGAGTATGGTGGTGGTGAAATCGAGTACCTTGGTTCGATCGAAGAGTCCGCTTATTGAGGCATCGAAGCTCCATATATCTCAGCACTCAATTTCAATTTCGGTACAAGCGTAGTAGTGTTTAATCATTCATTATGATATGCTATGGTTTTTAAATTTTTTTAGAAACATTTCGCAGGTTACTTGGTGTGAGTGCACAGCAACAATTGATGATATTGTGCATGATTCTGCATGGTATTACATCTCCTGTGGTGGGTGCAATACTAAAGCGACCAAAGGGCCTACCTCTTTGATGTGTAAAAGGTGTGGGAAAGCTGATGTTGCTGGCGTTCCACAATAAGAATTGTAAACTATGTTTGATCTCCCTTTTGCTAGCATTCATTGTTGATTTACATCCGTTTCAGGTTCCTCGCAAAGATATCTGTATATGACAAGAGTGGCCAGGAAAATTTTGTCCTTCTTGGTGATGCTGGCCTTGAGTGTACTGGGAAGAGTGCAGCCGAATTAGTAGCAAACTTTTTTGAGGTAATCTCCAACGTGTATATCCATTGGTTAAGGTTATCTCAACTCACACATGTTTTACTTGATTGTTTTGCTTTATTGTTAGTCTAATGAGAGCGTTGGAACTGATTACATTGTGCTAGTTCCGGCAGCTTTAGTTGGTACCATTGGGCAGACACACAATTTCCTTGTGAAAGTCTCAAACTATAACCTCTCAGGGAAGGTTCAATCTATAACTGTGACGAAGGTCCTCCCACCAGAAACTCCACAAGAAGACGTCATTGCTCCAGCGTCTGCTGCAATTTTGGAGGCAGGAAATGGAGAATGTGGTTCTTCCATGAGCATTGGACATGCCTCATATGAGAGTATTAAAAGGTCCTCTGATTGTCTTGAACCAGAAGCTGCAAAACGTGCCAAAAGTGGCTAGAGGAGCTCATGTTTAACCTCTTGCTCAGTGTAGTTTCACTGCACTAAGTATTGCTTTGATCTTTACAAGTTGTTTTTTTCTATCCTATTTCGTTTACAGACTTTTATCGTGTTGGATTGCATTTGTTTTACTTTAAGGCTTTGAAGCATTAAAATGTTTATCTCCAAAATATCATAATTTATATAAGTTTTGGTGGCTCATGTCTTTGATTATAGCTTTGTAGGTCATCGTATGTACTTCATAGTGAGTATACATGGGCATTGGTGTTTTTAAGGAAACATATATATTGCATAATAATGATAGCGTATTAAAGGATAGTAATCAAATCATTTTGTCGATTTATATCTTATAAGGAAAGAAGTTAATACATTAATTCAGGATTTCGTTATATAAATAACTACTAGGATAAGACCTCCGCAATGTATGTAATTCATGTTTACCATCAACAAAGGAACATTTTAAAAAATACACATTTTATTAAAGGATAAAAGACTCTTATATCTTTGTTCTTTATATATATACAAAAAATAAATATTAAATAAAATATTAACCCTAAACCCTAAAACATCAATTCTAAACTCTAGACCCTAAAAAGTAAACCCTAAACCCTAAAAATCAACCCTAAACCCTAAAATATCAATTCTAAACCTTAAACCCTAAACTCTAAACCCTAAAAGTAAACCCTAAACCCTAAAAAATCAACACTAAACCCTAAACTATCAATCCTAAACCCAAAACCCTAAATCCTAAATTCTAATAATATTTTGACTATTAAAATTTTAGTGGTAAAGTTGGTTAGTGTAAAGTTGAAAAGTGGTATCTTGAAAGTGTTATTTCTCGCAATTTCCCAATCTAAAATTTACATATGATTGTTTTTAAATGTATTTGAAATTTAAGAATTTTAGAATTTTTATATAATTATCTATACGTAGGATCATAAACAATTGTAATTAGATCTGTAGATCAAATCTTAGAATTTAATAGACTCGATTTCATATATCTTTTCACTTTTCAGTGTACGAGTGTTAGAAAATAAACGGAGTGTCACTAAGTTTGATTGGTAGAGTATTAGTAAGTTCCCTAATACTTTCTTAAGAAACAGTTGATTGCACTTAAAATATATAAAGTTTCAAAACTAATTTAAGAAAATTTATTTATTTGTCTAATAATATTAAAAAAATTAATTCTTACAAATTATTTATATAAAAAATAATTTGATTCAAAATTAAGTTAAGTTTTAAATTATTTTAAAAACAATATTTTAAGTTTTTCAAATACAAATAAACAATTTAAAATTAATTATGGTCATGATTTAACATAACCATAATGATTTAAAAAATTAAAATTTTAAAAATTAACAAATTAAAAATTAACTCAGTTTTACATCATGATTAAATAATTTAAAAATTAATTATGGTTATTAGAAGTTTACGTTCACGTGGCAATACTATTTATCTTCAATTTTTTCTCTTTCTGTGTTTTTTTTTATTTTGTTTATTACTCGATATAAATATTTATTTTGAAAATTATTGTCATTTCCTTTGTTAGTTTTGACCTGGGATTTATAAAAATACTTAAGATTTAAAATAATTAAAGTGATAAATACTTAGGTTAACATCTACGATAAGTATTTTATATTTATTATTTATTTATATTTTCTGCATATTATAATATAATAAATATATATATATATATATATATATATATCACATAACTAAGAAATCAGTTACTATTATGTAATAAATTGGCGTATATATAAAAATTTAACTATCACTCTTGTTTATTCAAAATTAGGGTAAATAAATGAAAATAATCAATCTTATACATTGTATATGATATATAATTAAACGTAAGTGGTATAAACATAGTAAAATTAGTTGGTGTAGAGTTTTATGATTATTTGCATATTTGTCTAGCAAAACTTTACACCAACTAATTTTTTTTAATGTGAGCTCTTTAGTAGTTTTAATAATTTATAATCATTTAAAAAAATGACATATTTCAAAATTAAAATATTAACTTTTCAATATATGTTCAATGCAAATATCAAAATATAAGTATGTATTTTCATACGATGTATAATTTAATTTAAAAAATATGAAATATATATAAACTAAAATTATTTCTTCATATGGTCTTATAATCATTATATTTTAATATAGAAAAAAATTAAAACCTTGATCCTAAAATTTTATGTGAGAATTTTAACAGTTTTAGTAATTTATACTCATTCTAAAAAATTCGAAATACAACATACACAAAAAAATATAGATTTTTATTACATGATTAATATAATTGTGTAATTTATTTTAATAACAAAGAAATAAACAAAATGATAAAAAGTATACAGATTGTTATCAAATCTTTATTGTTTAAAATAATTAATTGTCATATATATATTTTAATCACATTAGGTAATTTTGTGGGTTTTATTTAAGAAAAGCATGCGAAACAATAAATATTAGATATATGCGACCAAATATAGCATACGAAATATTATATTGGTAGAGAGTATAAATTTTTAGACTATACATTATATTACATGCTCTAGAATCCTTCTAAATTGAAATAGAAGACAAAGAGTTATGCCACATAGGATTGAGATTATTTTTAATTATTACAAACCTAAGGTTACAACTTTTTAAATGATTTTTTTAATATAGAGGGGATTTGTCTAACAAAACTTTATACCAACGATTTTTTTTTTTAATGTGAGATGTTTGATAGTTTCCATAATTTATAATCATTTAAAGAAAAAAAACAATGACATATTTCAAAATTAGAATATTAACTTTTCAATATATGTTCAAGGAAATATCAAAATATAAGTATGTATTTTCATACGATGTATAGTTTAATTTAAACGATATGAAATATATATAAACTAAAATTATTTTTTCCTATGGTCTTATAATCATTATATTTTAATATAGAAAAAAAAATTCAAAACTTGATCCTAAAGTTTATGTGAGACTTTTAATAGTTTTAGTAATTTATACTCATTGTGAAAAATTCGAAATACAACATACACAAACAAAATCTAGATATTTATTACATGATTAATGTAATTGTGGAATTTATTTTAATAATAAAGAAATAAACAAAATGATAAAAGTATACATATTGTTATCAAATCTTTATTGTTTCAAATCATTAATTGTCATATATATATATATATATATATATTTTAATCACATTAGGTAATTTCGTAGGTTTTATTTAAGGAAAGCATGCGAAACAATAAATATTTGATATATGCGACCAACTATAGCCTACGGAATATTATATTGGTAGAGAGTATAATTTTTAAACTATACATTATATTACATGCTCTAGAATCCTTATAAATTGAAATAGAAGACAAAGGGCTATGCCACATAGGATTGAAGTTATTTTTAATTATTACAAACTTAAGGTTACAACTTTTTAAATGATTCTCTTGGAGATGTCTTGGTATCTAATTAACTAACTTAATCTTTACCAATTCTCTTTCATATGGATCACATCACAGCTACCTCTCTTCTCCTCTTCAATAAACTTAATCTCTTTCAAACTTAAATCTTTTTTCAAATATTACCTATGATGATTTAAGCTACTTTTTTTTTTAAAAAAAAGTTACTTAAATTTAGTAATCACCCAAATTTTTCGTAATTTTTTAGAAATATTGTTCTCAATCCAAGCAAAACATTGGAAAATTATTAACCAAAATTAAATAATTTATTCACTTTTCCGCGCGTAGCGCGGAGAAAGACTCTAGTCCAATTTAATCTTTTCTCAGATCCACCTATAATGTATTTTTGAATTTTAAAACCCAACTACACAAATAGTTAAAGAAACCAAATGTTTTCGGTTTTTAGAGGGCGAGTTATGTCTTTTCACATAAAACTAATTTTTTATAACAAAGTGTCTTGAAGTGTAATAAAAAGACATAAAATGACTTATGTAAATTACTCCTCTTCTTTTTTTTTTATGACGAACGGTCATTCTATTATTCAAACTTGAGGTGGCCTGGATAACCAGACCGGAATAAAACAATCAATAAAATATAACTCCCTGTGGAAGGATCTAGCAGACTTAGCTAAAAAGTCAGAAATCTGATTTCGCATATGTGGAACATGAGTGATCTTAAAGTCTGGGAAGCATATCTGCAAAGTCTCTATCCTCTCTAGTTCTGTTGCAAAGCTTAGCCATGCATGAGGTTTCATGATCGTGGAAATCATGTCCTTACAATCTGTGCTAAAACTTTGACATGTCGAATGTTAAAAGCATATTTCTCCATTGTCTATTTCAGTGTTGTGACTTCTGAATGCAAAGCTGATTCGCATCGGTTTAAATTTCTTGTCGCCATGAGTTGAATTTTCCCAAAACTATTCATCCAGAATTACTCCTTTGGTCACGACTACTACAAAAAGGTTCCAATGAAGGGAAAAGGAATATGGGAGCGGTTCTTTCGGGTCTTTATCCATCAATTTAAAGTATATATGCGTTTTTTTAAGGTCAATTATTTTTAATGATGATATTTTTAGTTTAGTAACAACTGAACAACAAATTATAATGTTAGTTTTTCCTATTAATTAACAATGTCTTTTATACTTTTTTCACCCACTGAAAAGTGTGGATCTCTACATAGTTAACATTGTTACCAGCAATATGATGTTATAATCAAATTTGAGTCGGCTCTCGGGTTTAAATTTGTCTATAGATTTGATTAGGAAAATTTCTATAAAAATATTCCAACTATATTCGTTACACGTTTTGATACCCAAACTTTTTCACTACCTAGTTTAATACTCTAGCTAATTATTTTGCTCATTTAATACACAAACATTTATATTTGTGTCCATTTTAATACTCTAACTTTATTTATTTTAAGTAACATATTAATAAGTTTCAAATAAAATTATAAAAAATCTCTAAAATCTAAAAAAAAAATAATTGAATTTAAAATTTTACTTAAAGATTTAAGAAAAAGGTAAATAAACTTTGGAGTAAATTTAAAAATTTTAAATATTAATTTTGAATGAAAATAAGTTAATTTTTTTTTCAGAAAACAAACTAAATTCAATATTTAAAACTTAAAAAAGCATTACAGATTTAAGATTATAAAATATTTAATTTTATTTCTTTGACACAAAATAAAATTAAAATTTTCTTTAAAGTTTAGATATTTTAAAAATTTAATTTAAAACTTATTAGTATTTTTTTATTAAAGTAAACAAAATTTGGGTATTAAAATAGATACATTTATACAAGTTTGTGTATTAAAATGAGAAAAATAATTAGTTGGGATATTAAACTGGGTAGACAAAAAATTTGGGTATTGAAAAGCTTAACGAAATTTATGTGGGATATTTTTATGTAATATTCCCTTTTGATTATATATATGTTTAGAATTTCTTTAAAATATGGCTTAACGATCAGTTTGGCCTAACCGATGAAAACCAAGGAAGAGAAACCAAATATTTTTGAGTCAACCGGATTATGACTATTTTGTAGATTCAAGTTATGGTGGTTGTTAGGTTGATTTGTGAGTACAGGAATTACATGGAAAATATTTTTTAATTTCCTTGCAAATTTGATGTAATTGCGTGCAGGATTTACGAGTCAAGTGTTCTCCTACTCCTATATCTTATTAATCAGTCTCTGAATGACTTCATATATTTTTAATCTTGTTTTGATTTATTTTTAATTCAAAAATTAAATTATTTACATATTTACCCTTTACCTAATACCAAAAGACACGCCGACATTTTTTTTTTATACTTTCTTCTTTCTCTTCTTTCTTCTATATGCGATTCTCTCTTCTCTTTTCTTTTTATCTCTCTCTCTTTGTTCGCTAATGTTGTTGCAGGTGATGGAACTCCGCCAGTGATCGAAACCGTTCAGCAACTTCACAAGTGATTGAAACAAGAGCAGCAATCTTTGAAGGTGATGAAAATGGCAGTAATGGCGATTTTGTTTTTCTCGCGATTCAGATCTTTTCAGAACAACGACAATTATTCCTAAATTGATGAGCAATTTTGGATGTTTTATTTAATTTAGGTTTTTTTGTTATGGGTTCTTATTGTTCCAGATTTATGGATTTAGAATTTATTAAAACAGCACTAAACATATTTTCTATGATTTAGGGTTCTTTTTTTTGTTTGTTCTTCTTTTTAAGGATTTTGCTGTGTTTTATTTTAATCATCTTTAGATTTAATTTCAACAATTTTGTATATAATATGTAGTACTACTTAGTAATACTTTGTAATATTTGGTAGTAATACTCGATAGTATTACTCGGTAATACTTCCCAGAATTACTCGGTAGTACTACTCGGTAGTAATATTGTAGTAATACTTAGTAGTACCATTCAGTATAACTCAGTCAATTTTGGTATAACTAGCATCAGTATTACGTAGTATAACACAATATAACAAGTATAATTCAGTATAACTAATAAAACTCAATATAATTAATATAGTAGTACAACTCTGTATAACTAAGTAAGACTATATTAACATTCAAAATTTAAAAATTTGAAATTTTGAAATTTTTCAAATTTTCAAATTCTGCAAATTAATTTTTTTTTTATTATAAAAAATTAAATTCAAAAATACAAAAGGGAAAAATCGGATATTCATTAAAACAATAGGGGTATAGAGGATTTGAGATGACCATAGGAGATTGATTTTACCACAAGTGGGGGTAATAGAGCAATTGCCTCATGATTTACCTGAATTATTATGTTCAAGCCTATATTGGCTCGTGCACACAAAAAAAAAAAAAGAGAAAATTACTAGAATAACACAGAAAAGTTGGTATATGACTAGAATAATATATATTTTCTAAAAATTACTAGAATATTTTCAGACCCTTAAGAAATTACCATAAAGACCCTTGTTTAATTTTATATTTGTTGAGATTAATTTTAATTGTCAAATCCATATCACTAATTAGCCAATCCACGTCACTAACTTTTGTGACATGGAAAATCAACCATCCCCATACTTCCGGCGAATAGAAAAAATATCATAACTTCACAACTTTCTTTTTTCGTCGTTAAACCCTAACCGTTACCCAAGTCGTTTCGTCTCGAACTCTCTCTGATATCGTATTCGTCGAAAACGTCTTCTCCGCAAAAGTTTCTACGCAATCGTCGTCGTCGCAATCGTATATATGAAATCATCTTCTCCGGTATGTTGTGACTGAGTTTGATTTACGAAGTGGATGAGTTATAGATTATGTTGTAACTGATTTATTTTATATTGTGTCTGAGTTTGATGTACGTTGTGATCTATTGTGGCTGAGTTATAGATTATGGTGTGGCTAAGTTATTGATGATGTTGTGGCTGAGTTTGTTGTACTGTGTCTGAGTTTTGTTTCTATTACGGCTGAGTTATATATTATGTTGTGGCTGAGTTTGTTGTACTATGTCTGAGTTATACTATGTTGTGGCTGAGTTTTGTTTCTATTACGGCTGAGTTATTTATTCTGTTGTGGCTGAGTTTGTTATTTTATGGCTGAGTTTCTATTGCGGCTGATTTATATATATGTGTTTTAGGATCAGGTGGATGTTTCTGAAGATCAAGCACAGGATTATCCTCCAAGACTTTACGCTGAATGGGCTTCTAATCTAGAAAATAAAGTGATTAATCACAATTTTCATATGGGAGAATTCCATCACGTCAGAGAAGCAATAGGACGGTATGTGTGGGATCACCTGAAGCAGAGTCCCCTTGGAATAATTGTTAAGCTAGCTGAACGCAAAAGTGTGTGGTCTGGTAGGACTGTACACTATCTACTATGTAGACAGCTTCGAGTATATAAGAAGGAGATTTGGAGTCTAGTTGGTGGTGAACCTATCAGGTTTAGCTTACACGAATTTGGTGAGATCACTGGGTTAAACACAGATCCAGTGCCAACCGAAAGTTTTGAACCTGACCAATACAAAGTGTTTTGGGAGGAGTTAAATATGCCGCTTGGGGTGGGACCCAACTTAGATGAACTGAGGGCAACATTAGAGGTATGCCGGGCTTGGTTTTGAAAGCGTAAATGGTTAGGGCTGTTACTTTTTCAAGCCATGGGACTTTATGCTTTGCATCATAATTATAGGATACCTTTTGAAAGTGCAAAAATAGTATTTTACGATGAAGCCATGATGACGTATTCATGGGGTCAGACTGCATATGAAGTTCTTGTTGACTCTATTACAATGTTGAATCCACAAGGAGGGTCATACACCATAAGCGGTCTGAAAGACGTGTTATTGGTTTAGGCGTATGAATCTGTCATTTGTTTTGGAGAGCGTTTTGGGAAAGTGGTCAAAACGTAAACTGGTGGCGTGTCGTGCACCATTGTTTTCAAAGCTTTATTCGAGAACATGTAGCTTAGCTGAATCTGATTACTGAACTCATTCAATCTGTAATCATCGAGTACTGACTTTACGAGTTCGTCGTGTGTTGTTTTCTCATCTGCCTGCAGAACTATACATCCTCTACTATCGGGTTTGAATACATATCTTTTTTTTGTGATCCAGTTACCTGAAATAATGATTACCGGATCTATAAGATTTTAGAGATGAAGGTGAAGAGCAGAGAGCGGCGTCTGTAACATAAACCTTAATTTCATTGTTGTAAGGTTAGTAATGACATGTCAAATAAAAGCTGACATTGATGATGACATGGAAAATCGGTAATTCAGCCACCAAATGAACACTTAAGTCAGCCTTAATAAGTCAGCCACCAAGTACACCGTAAGTCAGTCAAAATGTGAATACTATTTTAATAATTAATCTTTTGCTAATAAATCAGCCATAACAAAGATGAAACACAATAAGTCAGCCGTATCGTCTAATAAATCAGCTGGCAAATGAATGTTATTCTAGTAATTAATCTTTTGCTAATAAGTCAACCGTTATTAAGCTGAGTTTACTATTAGTCCATTTTATTATGGCTGATTAAATATAGCTCAGCCGTAAAAAACTCTCATAACTTAGCATGTCGACGATGATTTAACCAGTCGTGATAGTTAACTCAGTCGTATCGTAAATAGAACTCACCGTTATCACATAAATCAGCCTGATTTTTTTGAGTCAGCCATAACGAAATGCTGAGTTATGTTCATAACTCAGCTTATTTCTCATAAGTCAGCTGCGTTCTTTAAGTCAGCCGCAATGTAATTTAACTCGGCCGTAACGAAGTTCGTATATTACGGTTGAGTTTTATACTGCATTCTTACATGGAGCCGACTTTTTGCCTACGTGGCACTAAAAAGTAATGACATTCTTGTAAATATGTACGTTTTTTATCACAACGTAAAAAAAAAGGCATGCTGGATTTTGAAAAAAAGTAATAATAAAAAAAAATTTGTATGGTTTTCACAATAAGTTCTAAAATTCGTACTGTATGAGTTAACTTCAAAAAGAAAAAAAAAGCCTATGTTGGCTCTATGACACTGTTTTATGCAAGGACGCTATCTGACTTGTCGCCATGGGTTTTGTATTTGGCACACTTAATTTTTTCATGTTTTTGGGCTGATCAGCAAAGGGATTAGTAGAATTATTATGACAGTCATTATCTTGCTCAGCAAATCAAGCTAAACTTAATAGAGTTGGTTCTGAAAATAGTGAAGTCTCATTTTCCCCTCAAAACGACGAAGCTTTGAGAACCAGCAATCTTCTGAATCTTTGAGATCTTCTTCAGAATATCAGCAAAAGCGTTCTTGTCCTGTAAAGATCCATACAAAAAACATGATTATCCAAAAGTTAAGCTCAGATATTAAAACCATAATGTTTCTTAAGGTTAATAAAGTTTTCGAGCAAATGTTACCTCTCTAGTCTTAAGTCTTGGCCTAAAACTTGAGACCAAGTCCTGTGTAGTGACTTGCTTCTTCTCCATCAGAACAGCGCGGATTTTGTCTTCAGTCACAGGTCCAGTAGAAGATGAGGATACAGAAGCTGGAGTTGTTTCAGATTTCACAGCTTTTTTTGGTGCGTTGGATTTGGAAACCGAGTTGCTTTTCTCCTGTTTACAAAGATTATAAAAAAAAAACTTCAGAAATCAGAGAAAATACAAGTAAACACTCCACAATGGGTAAAAACTTATCTCCTATCAGTTTATACACCTCTTTCACATCATATTTTTCAAGATAGCATAAAGAGAAGCAAGTGTCTTACATTTTCAGCCTTCACTTTTTTGTGAACAGAGCTGCTAGGCTTTTTCAAATCGGCATCGTTTAGTTTTCTCTTTCCATTGGATGGTTTTGAAGAAGGTGTTCCACGAGAAGATGAAGATGGTGCAGGCTTTGCAGGACTGCTCTCAAGAGGTTCTTCCTTGGTTACATCCTTCTATTTTGAATTCGTTACCAAATTGAAGTTTGTCTCCTCCTATTAAGTGACTTTCTTGTATCATAACCAATTATAGTAGAATTGAACAATTTGATTTGGAAGCTTACATCATCTGTATCATCGTGGTCAGATTCATTCAAACCATTAGCCTTGCCGGGCAACTTCTTCAACTCTTTACCAGACTCGCTCAACACTCCTTCCTCTTCTTCATTTTCTTCATCCTGCAAATAAAAAGTTAAAGCATCACAGAAACTAAAGAGTCGACAATTCAGTATCTAGTAAACTAAAGACAGACCTGCTTTATTTCTGGAGGAGCATAAAGCTCAGGTGCTAGAAGATCTTCACGTTCCTCAGGATCAATATCAACAGCCTCATCATCATCTGTAAAAATTTCTTCATGCTCCCAATCATCCCCTAAACAAACCAAACACATTAGCAAAACTATACAGACGAATTTGAAAAACTACAACAGACCTTTCTCAATGTCATCATCATCCATGTCAAAATCACCACCCCCAGGACCTTTTTCATCATCATCTTCATTACTCTTATTATTGAGACCGAGTTTACTCTTCTGTGATGCCTCTTCCTCTTCGTCTTCCTCTCCTCTATTAGAGACATTACCTTCTTCTTCTTCTTCCTCAATCCCTGATGACTTCTTACGTCTTCTGCCACCGCCTCCACTGCTTCCACCCACCTCTTTGTCATTCTCACCGCCTTTCATCATCCACCTCTGATACCCATCAGCAGTTTTTTACGATTCTTCATCTTCTCCTCTGCTTCTTCAAGCGTAAGTTGTTTATACTATGCAACCTTGTTAAAGTTATACCTAAATAGAAAAAAAATCATAAGAGCACTCTAAGAAATAGAGCCGGGACAAAGCCGAATGAATGAAATATTAGCTTTAAACCTCCAAATTTTTTTGAAAAATATTACATAGAAACAGCAGCAAAAAACAATTTTAGGCCTCCAAGGTTGTGAAAAAAAATAATTTAGTTAAACTCTTTAATAGATCGCTTATGGCCCCCAAATTTCAGAGGGCTCTGCTAAGAAACCAAAAGAAGTACATCAAGTTAATAAACATACCAAGAACCAGCGGGAACAGCGACAAACTCCTTGTTCTGCATCACTAAGAGATAGTAAGTTGCAGACTGTGAGCCTTCAAGCTGCCCCTGGTACTAAAGCTGACCAGTTTCATATTCCAAGATCCAAGGCTTGTTCTTTAATTTCTCCTACAAAACTCACAAGCATTTAAATAACAACAAGATGATGATCCAACACAACAACAAAACAAAGACACAACAATTAATTACCCTTTGTGCGGCTGTGAATTGACGATTTTGTGGTATGTCTTTACGAAGAGACTATTTATTCGCAGAAGAGGCTTTTTGAAATTGGGAAGACCAGACACAAACTTACCAATGAAGTAGTTCTTGTCTGTTGGCGTAGCGGCACGGACGTTATACTCCTGCAAAAGAAACAGACCGTTTTGATTTTGTTTTTATCTTTCAAAGTGGTTTTGGAACTGAAGAATCAAACCCTAATCAATCTAGTGAGGACGGTTCCACGGTCAAGACACTTGGCTTTGTTCTCAGCCATGGTTTTACTACACTTTAAGCATAACGTCATGTGTCTGCAAGAGCTTCCGTACAGATCGGCATGTGATCCACAGCCCATGCACGCTTGCTTTAGGGTTAAACAGTGCAACATTTTGGCCCGATCCAAGGGTATCGTCTTCTTGCCTTTCTATACACGTTAATACACAGCCCAGGAATCGAATTTAGGGTTTCTTGAGTTCAAAATCCCAATTACGAAATAGGGTTGCTATTACCTTAGACCATCTGCATTAGTGAACACCTTAAAGGGGTTCATGAAAATTTTATAATACTTTTCTGTGGGCCCTTAAACTTAAGGGATGAACCTCTATCTATTGTTTTCCCGTATTAGTGAATCTTCAAAGGGGTTCATAGGAATAAAATAATATTTTTTTCTTTGTAATTAAATTATTTTTCAAACATTAAAAATTAAGAATTTCTTTTAAAAAACATTATTCAATACATTGAGAATTCATGAACATACAAACATTATTAATCTTCATTACCAAATTTTTGCCATACATTTTCGATTAAATCAGCTTTCAAATGATGATGTTTCTCCGAATCTTGAACTTCATTGCGAATGGGTAACATACTACCGCCATGAATACTTGTTCTCCTTTCCACCGTGGAACCTCTACTTGTCTCTCCTGACTCGAACTCATATGTATCAATTTGAGCGTATCCGTGACGTTCGTTTTCTACTATCATATTGTGCAATATGACACAAGTTCTCATTATCTTTCCTATTTTTTCCTTGTCCCATAGTAGAGCTGGGTTTTTAACAATTGCAAACCTCGATTGCAATACTCCAAAAGCCCGTTCGACATCTTTTCGGGTGGATTCTTGACGTTCAGCAAATAGCGTTGCTTTAGGACCTTGAGGAAGTGGGATGGATTGGATAAATGTTGACCAATTTGGATAAATACCGTCGGTAAGATACTAGGGCATACGGTAAGTGTGGTTGTTGACCTTGAACTTAACCTTAGGTGCTCGGCCTTGTAAAATGTCATCAAAAACTGGTGACCGATCAAGAACATTAATATCATTGAGGGTACCTGGTAATCCGAAAAATGCGTGTCATATCCAAAGATCTTGTGATGCCACAGCTTCTAAGACAATTGTCGGCTTTCCTGAACCACGTGTGTACTGACCTTTCCAAGCCGTTGGACAGTTTTTCCACTTCCAATGCATACAGTCAATGCTGCCTATCATCCCTGGAAACCCCCGTACCTCTCCCACATCGAGTAATCGTTGAAGGTCCTCAGGTGTAGGTCTTCGTAGATACTCATCTCCAAACAATTGTATTATCGCATTAGTGAAACTTTCCAAACATAAACGTGATGTACTCTCACCCAGTCGAAGATATTCGTCATATGTATCTCCCGATTGACCATATGCCAGCATACGTATACATGATGTACACTTTTGAAGTGCCGATAGACCGTACCTCCCGGTAGCATTTCTTCTTTGCTGAAAGTATGGAACTTCACTGCTTAGGCGTTCGAGAATACGAAGGAACAATGGTTTGTTCATTCGGAAACGCTGCCTAAACAATGGTGGTGGGTATGTAGGATTTTCCGAGAAATAATCGTTCCTTAGTTGATTGTGTCTTTGTTCCCGATCTCTTTCGATATAAGCTCATCTCGTAGACTTGTTGGGGTGAACAAGAAGCATTGACTCGATGTAATTATCAACTACTTCGTCGACCATTTCTTCTAAAGCTTCATATACTTCATCACTTGATGAGGAAGACATTTTCCTAAAATGAAAAAAGGGAACTTCATCATACTACATATTGGAACAAATAAATTTATATAAGTTGATCCATATCTAATTTGATAAAAAAAAATTATATAACTTGATCCATATCTTATTTGATAATCCATAATATATATAACTTGATCCATATCTTATTTGATAATCCATAATTTATATAATTTGATCCATATCTTGGTCCAAATCCATACCTTCTTCAAGTTGGTGTTGTTGTTGTTCGATAATTTAGAAAACGATCCTTGTTGCTTGTTGCTTGTTGCTTGTTCTTGTTGTTCTTGTTCGAAGCAAGAAACAAGAGAGAAATGTTGTTGCTTGTTGCTTGTTCGATACGTATGTTGTTGCTTGTTCTTGTTCGATAAGAATCAAGAGAGAAACAAGATAGAAATAGAGAAGAGGAGAGAAGAGAAGTATGTTGTTGTTCTTGTTCGAAGCAAGAAACAAGATAGAAATATAGAAGAGAAGAGAGGTATGTTGTTTACATAGAGAGACTTAAATTAGTACATAATGGTACATTCTATTATACATCCGTGAGCATAGCAATACAAAAGCAACAAAGTGCAGCAGAGACATCCGTGACAAAAGCAACAAAGTGCTACATCTATTTTACATCCGTGATAGAAGTGTAGCAAGCAAACAAAATGCTACCCTAGTACAAACCTAGATACTACATAGTACAGAAAAGATAAAGAGAGACATAGTACACACATAGTACAGACCCGTGACCTAGAGAAAGAGAGGCATCCTTGAACAGCTTCCAATCCATGACCTGTGACCTGCAAAAGAGAAGACAACAGATTCAAAGTTAACAACATATCCAAATCAAAGCATTACAGTAAAAGCATTTCAATTAGCTAACCAAATCAAAGCATTTCAGACACTAGTTTATCTTTTAGAGCCACTTCAGCATCAGAAAGTGTGTCAACGGCTTTGGCTAAGAGACACTCAAGTATCTTTTCTTTGGATAGGGTTTTTTCTGAGCAAGGATGGTTTGAATTCGATCAAAAGCCACTTCGTCTGGCTTCTGGCGTTTTGCTGCTTTGCTAGCCTTTACACCAGGAGGCCTAATGTCTTCCTCGTCAATCACCACCTCTCGAACACCTTCCTTTATTTTCTCCTTCGGCTCATAGTGTGATCTCCACTTCTGATCGAACCTAAGCTCCCTCCAGCAGTGTTCAAGAGTGAACTTGCATTTGTAGTCATTGGAGTAGATGTCATGCGCGGCTTGCATGACATCATTCTCTTTTTGCCCACTGCCTTGCGCCTTCAGAGCCGCTTCATGGCTTCCCACAAACCGGCAGACCTCTGCATTTAACCTCCTCCACCTTTGCTTACACTGACTCGACTCTCTTGGAGTGGAGCCACTTAGTTGAGGACTAGAATTGAAGTACTCTTCAATTCTCTTCCAAAACGATCCTTGTTTTTGTTCATTGCCAACTATGGGATCCTTCGAGGTGTTCAACCAAGCACTGATCAACACCAAGTCCTCTTTAACTGACCACACTCTCCTCACTGGTGGTTTAACTCCCCCGGGAGAGTTAGCAGGTGCCTCAACAAAGTCTACATCTATTGGATGACTGCTCTGCGAGGCTAACAGGTTAACAAACCCGAGAGTGTTGAGGTAAATAGGATCCATAATGTGTTTTGGTTTTGTTTGTTGTTTGGAAGTTTGCGTATTTTTTAAGGGTTATCTATGGATCTTTTTAAACTAGTTTTAACCTACCAAACATTAACTATAGAACCAATGCAATGAACAAGAACATTCATTACAGCAGTCAAATCGTAGCAACCAAACAACCAACCACGAAAGAATTTAATTTAAAAGCACTTCTAGTTCTAATTAAAGTTTTCTAGTTGTAGTTTTAATAAAGTTATCTAGTTATAGTTCTTGTACTTGGTTATATTTTACAGTGTACTGTGTTATAGTTTATAGTTTACAGTTTAAAGTTAACTAGTTTACACTTTAGTTCTTTTTAAACTAGTTTAAAGAACATTCATTACATCAGTCAAATCGCAGCAACCAAACAACCAACTACCAAAGGATTTAATTTAAAAGTTCTAATAAAGTTATCTAATTCTAGTTCTAGTTCTAATTAAAGTTTTCTAGTTCTAGTTTTAATAAAAGTTATCTAGTTTACTGAAGGCTAACCTTTGCTTGTCAATCGAAGGAGACCTTCTCCAGGGTTTCCACCTGCACACTGAGGTCATAAACTTGCGCAGAGAGGATCTTCACGTCTTCCTGAACATGGAACAAGCAAAGACATTTGTGTTAGTCAATTCTATATAAGTAAAAAAGCATTCAGTAACAAAGATGAAAGAGATTACAAAATCTGTAACTAACCTCAAGACCCTCAATCTTTTTTCTTAGACCCAACACCCCCATCATCACCTGCTCTGCCGCCTCCACCCGTTTAGTCAGCTTTTCCAGCTCCTCCTGGATTCCTATCACCCAAAGCTGACGGTAATGGAAACCATTAGCCTTGGTTACAACAAAAACACCATCAGTCCAAACACCTTATGTAAGAAAACACCAAAGTAAGACAACAGGGTTTAGGGATCAGACTTACCTCGTAGTTCAAGCAGGTGAAAACCCGCTTCCCAGGAAGAGTATCGTACTCCTCCTTCCCGCAAACCTCATTAATGAGTCTCCCACCACACATACACCTTATAGGGATCCCGTATTCTGCATCTGCAACGAAGCCTAACATGTTGATGTGGTGGTTTTGCCTCTTCGAATTTCTTCTATCTGCTGTCGGATCCATCTGTCAAAGAAACAGGAAGAATGAGCCATCAGACAAACCATAAGAAACAAGTTTCTAGGATCAACAATCGACTAAAATGATTCAATCGAACCTTGAAACTCGGTTACAAAGTTCAGAGAATCCAACACTAAAATCTCAGAGAGACGAACCCTAAAACAGAGAAACGAACCCTAAAAACAAACATGCATCATGATCTCATGCTAACGAACCCTAAAAACAAACATGCATCACAATTACTCGAAACCCCTATCTCGGTTCCAAATCTTAGAGAAACGAACCCTAAGACAACATACCAACACCATCTACAACCGTATTTCGAAACCCACCCATCGATTAAGATCCCTTACTCGAAACCCCCAAATTGATTTCAAAATCGAAAATGACTTTCGAGAACAAAAACGACCGAATCGAACAGTAAATCTACTAGAAAATAACTCACCTCGTCGAGAATAGAGACCGTCGTCGATTGGATGGAGAAAAGCACCGGGAATCGTCGTCGCCTTCGGAATCGCCTCTCTCGCACTCGATATCGCCTTCGTCGAGA